TTCTGGATGTAGCTGCTCAGTGGGGTTGCCACACTCCAGGCTGGTGCTGGGGAATGTGTGCAAGGGATTCAGTGATGTGACCTGTCCTCTAGTCTCCTAGCAGCGGGTACCAGCACCAGCTCTGATGGGGGTGGGAAGGGAGTTACGTAGACTATGAGATTTCCTTGAGATAACCAAGGATTTGTGTTGGCTTTCTCAAATGCTAGCTTGTGTTGGCTTTCTCAGATGCCAACTGTAGTAGTAATATACTGGGCACGTGGACAGACTCAAGATCTTCTGGTTAGCCAGGGTGATATAGGCAATGACGATAGCTGAGGTCATGCAAAAAATTTCTCCTTCCTGAGGGTGGTGTTCCTGTCCCTGCAGATGTTGTAATGGGCTGTGCTGGTTGGCCTCAAGAGGTGATGCTTGCAAAAGAACACCAACTATGGTGGTAGTGGTGGGATTTGTGCTTGCCTTATGTTACCCAAGGTACTCTGGTGTCTCAGGTAATAGGTGGGGCTATGGGCTTCCCAAAGTCCCAGTCTGTTGTGTTATGCTGCCAGGGCGAGTGAAGGGACAAAGCCAGATGGGGGCCGGGTCAGGCAAGTCTGTACTCTGGCTCTTGACATGTAGGCGCAAGCAGTGGCCCCAGTAGGGGTCAGAGGGCAGTTCCGTGGCTGTCGGGATAGTGTTACAGGGTGGATGGAGCACAGCTGCCTCTGATGCACAGAATAATCTGCATGGGGCATCGGGTGTAGCAAATGGCAGTAAGGCCCACTCAGCTCCCACGGACTTGGCAAGAAAGGTCTCACACACAGTGTTCTGCTAGCAGCAGCCATTTGGGTTGCAGGCAGCCAGCAGTTAGAACTCAAAACTGCCCCAGGCTATAAGCCTTCCCAGCCAAGACAGAAACCACAGTTTTCAGGCCATATCCCTCCAGGTCTGCCTGCAAAGCAGGGACACGCAGCTCCTGCACCTGTGGCTATAGCACACTTCTCACTTGCCCCTCTGTTCTGGCCAAGGGGGTCCATCTGCACTCAAGATTATATCACGAGTCTCAGTTGGGAACTTCTCTCAACCTGTGACCTCTGCCTGAATTAGCTGGCAGTCTTCCCTGAGATAGGATCAGGAATGGCTTCCCTCCGGGCCTGCTGGAGTCTGGGAATGGATGCAAAGCATGTCCTGATGCTGCTTCTCCTCATGTTCTCCCCGCTGCTCATTAAGTTGGCTCCAGCACTGGGTAGCATTAAGGCATTCTCCCGTGGCCTGGATTGGGTTAAGGCATTTTATACCTGGGTAGGGTTAAGGCAGTTCCCACTGGCCTGACTCCCTAGTGGGAGTATGTGTCATGGAGGAAACCTGTCTCCCACTCAAGCTCTATAGACACAGTTTTCTACCTGCTTCATGGTGTAGGCTGCTGCCCACCACTTCTTTCAAAAGGCCTGTGATTTCTTTCAGTTTTTCTGTTACGTTCCTGTGTTGCTTCTAGGAAAGAAGTTCACAACTTGAATTTCTACATATGATTTTATTTTTCCAAGTGGGAGGGGCATGTTAATCCCTTTAATCTACCATCTTGGAGAAAGAAAAAATGAATTGTTTTCTTAGTAGCTTTTTTAGATAGTTTGTTGTTAGTGTATAGAAATGCTACTGATTTTTAGAGGTTAATCTTGTGTCCTGCAACTTTACTGAATTTGTTTACAACTTTACTGAATACTGTTCTGTTTTTGTTGAAGTCTTTAGGATTTTCTCTATATAGGAACATGTCATCAGCAGAGACAGTTTGACTTCATTGCTTCCTATTTGGATGCCTTTTGTAGATAGTACCTGACTTAGAGAATGTTTTGGCTTACATTTTTTTGACTTTTTGATGGTGCAAAAGCAATACATATTCAGTAGCAACAGTACTTCAAGTACCTATACAACCATTCTGGTTTTCACCTTCAATACAGTATTCAATAAATTACATGAGATATTCAACACTTTATTATAAAATAGATGCTTTTGCTCGTGTGTGGCTTAATGTAAGTGTTCTGAACGTGTTTAAGGTAGGTTAGGCTGAGCTGTGATGTTCAGTAGGTTAAGTACAGTAAATGCATTTTTGACTTACGGTATTTTCAGTTTATGATGGGTTTATTGGGACATAAGCCCATCATAAGTCAAGGAGCATCTCTAGTTCCTTCTCTTGCCTAATTGCTTTGGCTTGGCCATCCAGTACTATGTTGAATAGAAATGGTGAGAGTGGGCATCCTTGTCTCGTTCCTGGTCTTAAGAGGAAAAGCCTTTAACTTTTCACCATTGAGTATGGTGTTAGCTATAGACTTATTATATATGACCTTTATTGTGTTGAGTAATGTTCTTTCTATACCCTATTTGTTGAGCGTTTTTGTCATGAAAGGATATTGTATTTTATCCAATGCTTTTTAAAGTATCTTTGGGATGATCCTTCATTCTTTTTGTCTTTGATTCTTGTAATATGGTGAATCACATTTATTGATGCATGTCTGTTGAATCAGCCTTACATCCCAGGGATAAATCCCACTTGATCATGGTGCATGATCCTTTTACTGAACTGTTGAATATGATTTGCTACTATTTTGTTGAGGGATGAGTATTTCTTTGTATCAGCAGGTCCTTGGCATCAGTAGCAGATATATTCTAGTGGTCATCATAGTGGCCAGCACTTACTGTGCGGTTCAGTTACCATGCTAAGTGCTTTATATGAAATATTTTATTGATGTTCTTAACAGACCTCTAAAGGTAGTATCATAATCCTCTTTTTATAGATGAGAAAACAAGCATAAAGTTCAAGAAATTTGCATGACATCACATAATACAACTTTCCCTTATCCTACCAGAAGGGAAGAATGAGAATTAGTGAACCAGTAGTTCAGACTGAGATGACTGAGTTGAGTTAAGGGAATATGAGATTTGTACCTTTCTAAAGTAATCTTATGTGTTAACTTAATTATCTTGGTTGGCTGGCACTAAAACTGAGGCATAAATAGAGTTGTTTTTAATAGCTCTTCTATTTCACCTTGCTCTCAGTGTGTACCTGGGACCTAAGTGCTGGATTCTAGCTTGTAGGGGTAGCTCTGGTCTTTTTCAGTCAAGACCCCTATTCTCTGCCCAAAGGTTGATTAGATTATCTGATGAGAAAAATGCTGAGGGATTAAAGGATAGGTTAATTTCAGAAATGTGTCTTGGTGAAATTGCTCTCTCACTCATCTGGTATGATCTTTTAAAAATGCATGTACAGTTAGGATCATGTGTGGGACAAAGAGATTTTGCCAGAGAGAGAATATATATGCAACTAGCGTCATAACCATAAATTATTTCTGTTTGCCCCTCTTTAACATTTACTATTGAAGTTGAACTTTTGAGGGCTCAATAAAGTAATAAAAAACATTTCTTAGGAGAGAGAGAGGAGTTATCACAATGTATGTATTCAAAATTTCCAATAGCAGAAAACTTTATTGTTTTTGACACCCAGGTTAACTCTAAGCAGTACATATGAAGTGTATTTAGGAGATCATTCAGTTGCTCTAGCAAAGGAAGAAAAATAAAACTATAACTGATGTACACTCACAGAAAGGCAAATACTGCATATTCTCATTCATATGTGGTAGCTAAAAAAGTGGATTTCATGAAGATAGAAAATAGATTGGTGATTACCAGAGGCCAGGAAGGGTAGGGGGAAGGGAGATGAAGACAGGTTGATTAATGGATATAAGTATACACTTAGATAGAAGAAATAAGAACTGGCTGGGCGTGATGACTCACGCCTGTAATCCCAGTACTTTGGGAGGCTGAGGCAGGTGGATCACTTTAGGTCAGGAGTTCGAGACCAGCCTGGCCAACATGGTGAACCCTGTCTCTACTAAAACTACAAAAATTAGCCAGGCATGGTGACACACACCTGTAATCTCAGCTACTCGGGAGGCTGAGGCAGGAGAATCACTTGAGCATGGGAGGTGGAGGTTGCAGTGAGCCAAGATTGCACCACTGCACTCCAGCCTGAGTAACAGAGCGAGACTCCATCCCAAAAAAGAAGAAGAAGAAGTAAGACCTGATGTCTGATAAATCAGTAGGGTGGCTGTAGTTAACATTAATTGATTGTATATTTCAAAATAGCTAAGAAGAGAATAATTGGAATATTCCCAGTATAAACAAAAGATAAAGTTTGAGGATATCAAATTTTTCATTTGATTATATGAATGGGTTAAATTATCACGTGTATCCTGAAAATATGTACATCTAATATGTATCAATAAAAATAAATAGCAAAAGTTTAAAAAATCTATAACTGGCTTAAACCAGAGAGATTTATTTCTCTTGTCAGGTAGAAGCCCAAGCTGATGGGTGGGTCAGAGATATAAACAGCTCTGTTCGACAAGGTCATTCAGATGTTGAGGTTCCTTCTAATCCTGTTTTTCCGGTATTTTCCTAGGATATTACCCTCAGCTATTTATGGTTAAGCAAGATCACCACCACCATATCTGTCTTAAATCTGCAATAAGAGAGGAAGAATGAATGGTGGGCAAGCAGGTTTCTTTCAAAGACATGACCCAGAAGTGGCACACATCACTCCTGCTCACATCCCATTGGTTACACTGTAGTCACATGGCCACAAGTAGCTCATGAATCTGGAAAGGTAGTCTGTGGCTGGGCAGACATGAGTAGATACTGTAAAGATCTATTACTGAAAAGGATGAGGGGGAGAATTAATATTAGGGGATCATTAGCAGTTTTTACTACAGAAGTTTATTTATAATTTTTGTCAGCCTTTCTCGCAGTCAATTAAAAGAGTTGTTAGAGAATAGCCATACCAAAGGACTTTGTAGTATCAGGTCAGTAGCATACTAAAATATAGTAGAATAGATTTCACTAGTGATTTAAATTCATTTTCAGAAACAAAGCACAAAACTGAATGTTCGAGAATTTGATGAGATCCCTTCAAACTGTGTTATAGTTGCTGGATATATGAGCTAATAATTATTTATTTTGTTCTTATATTTTAGGCCTCAACTCCATATAGCATAGATTCAGATTCTTTGGGAATGGAGTGTATTATTTCGGGAAGTGCCTCTCCAACTCTGGCAATCAACACTGTGACTAACAAAGTAATTTCATTTTTTTAAACATTATTGAAATGTCATTGAGTAGTACATTTAATTTGCCTTTGTAGTAATGATAGAATCCTGTATGGTTCAGTTTAAAGATTATATATATTTGTTTACCCTATACATGGTAGCATGAAGGCTAAATTCAGAATGTTTTGAGGTATGCACAAATTAGAACAAAATACCTCTCAGGAGAAATTAGAAGGTGCTTATTGAGAAGTTCTATACTTGTTTAAAAATTCTTGGCTCTCTCAGTTCCCATTGGTAGAATTTGTGAGCCAGCATTTTATTGAATCAATTTGTTTCAAAATCATTAATTACCTCTCCAAATATGCAGTTGAAAAAAAGATTGTCACATTCTGATGAGTTAACAGTCAAGTAAAATAATAATTGGACAGCCTCATAGAGTTCACTGGGATGGTGGTCTACCTATTTTCATGATATTCAAGTCTAAGAATATAGCCAGGAACAGTATATGGTCGTTTGCTACATTTTGATGTTGAGTCACAACTTTGTGATGGGTCATTATATACCTAGTGGGATACAGGTATATATCTGTCTCTTCTTTATAAGACAGTTTCTTAACGTTACATCTCAAAACCTTAAAAAGGTTCTGGGAGGTTCATGAATCCAGTTTTGTTCATCTGTTTTCTTACCTACTAGACCATGAGTACTCCAGAGCCATACATCTCCCATACTTACGCTTAGATTCTCTTTCAGTCTTGTTTTCGTTTTCTCCCTCTAGATTTCACCCTCTTTTTCTCTCTCCCTCTCTCTGACTTTCATTCTCTCACTTCACGCACACACGTAAATGTGAACACATACACATACACCATTGCACTAACATGGCACTCCTAGGATCCTTTTACTTGTAGAAAGATAATGATTAAACAGACGACAGATTATAATCAGAGTGACATAATTCAAATTTCCAGTTCAGAAAGGAAACTGGCAGCCTAGGCATAGAGGAATGATTCTTCCCATGTGGCAATCTGAAATCATTACATCACAGTCACTTAGAGGATTTATGGGGCAGTTGGGGGGTGGAGGGTAGTGGGGGGTGGGTCGTGGTAGTGGTGGTAATCCCAGGATTCCATTGCAGTTCTACCAAATCAGTTATTTGTGTCATGATGAGTAGGGCCCAGAAATATGTACTTTAAAAAATGATCTCTAATGGTGACCAGCTAGATAAGAATTTCTAGTGGAGTAGATGGGTTAGAATCAGAAATACCTAATACTGCTCTGTGCAGTAGTCTAAGTGGTGATGAGGACCTAAACATAGATGATAGTGTGGTTACTAGGAAACAATTAGGAAGTAGTAATGCTGGGACTTCATGACCAAATAATGTGGATGTCAAAGGAACTGAAGGTTTTGGATTTCTGCATCCAGATATGACAGACTACTAGTATTAGATTATCCTTTCTGCCTATCTGTGTAAAATACCAGACAGACATAGCCACACACCCCTCCCCACCACCTCTTTGATTAAAAAAGAAGAAGGAGGTATTGGAAACTAAGCAGCCAGGACTTCAGGGGTCAGGAGCCCAGAGAAGAGGTAAACACATTGAGATAAGCTTTGTACATTTTCCTTTGGTACATTTCCCAATTCTTAGTGCATAGCGTAGGGGCTACACAGGGAGCAGTAGCATAGAGCACTCATTAAACCAGGGAGACAAAAATTGGAGTTTGGAGTTACCGAACAGCCAGGGCTTGCAGAGCTGAGATCCTGAGGAATCTCGGGTGAATTCAACCTTTTCTTTTTTTGAGACAGGATCTCACTCTGTCGCCCAGACTGGAGTGCAATGGTGCGATCTTGACTCACTGCAACCTCCGCCTCCCGGTTTCTAGCAATTCTTTGCCTCAGCCTCCCAAGTAGCTTTACAGGTGCCCACCTCTGCGCCTGGCTAATTTTTGTATTTTCAGTAGAGATGGGGTTTCACCATGTTGGCCACGCTGGTCTCAAAACTCCTGACCTCGGGTAATCTGCCTGCCTTGGCCTCCCAAAGTGCTGGCATTACAGGTGTGAGCCACCGCACCCGGCTGAGTTCAACTTTTTGTAAGCAGTATCCACTTAAGGCATTTGCCAACTCCTAATTGTGTATGCTAGGGCTCAGACACAAAGTAGTTTTTCGCTAGCCAAAATTCAACACTCTCACAGAACAGGAGGGACAAATATTGTAGTTTATGGTCTTCAAAGGAGGAGAGAGCCATGGTAATACACCGTAGGCTTTCAACTTGATATCTGAGAAGAATTTTGTTCTAAGAGTAAATGCAAGCCAAGATAGATCAGCCTCAACAGTTACTAGAGTGGTATGCTAATATTCTTTCTGCCAAAAGAAAACGGAATTCTCTCTGGAGGAAGATAACATCATCCAGAGCTTCTGTAATTTTCCATAAGTGTAAGGCGTAGCATTCAGTCAAAATTTCCAGGTGTGCTAGGAGAGAGAGTTTGAAATAAGTAAACATGCAGTTGGGGGGAGACAGTATAAACATTGATCGCAAAATAACTATAACTGATATGGTCAAGAAAATAGATGAGTTATAGAAAATTTACCAGAGAATTGGAATTTATGTGGAAGAATCAAGAGGAAACTTGATTAAACCTGGCAGATGGGATTAATAGCAGATCAGACACATCAGCGGAGAAATTTAATGAACTGGAAGATAGGTCTATAGAAAACGTGCAGATGTAAGCACAGAGAGAAGAAAAGATGGAAAATTCAGAAAAACTTGAGGTAAATGGGACATGGGGAAAAGGTCAAACAAGGTTGTTTTTAGTGTGCAGGAGGAGAGGAAAAAGGAATAAAGAAGATCATGGTAATATATTTAAGCATGCCTTTCTGTAACTCATAGAACCTGCAGACCAAAGCAAAACAACAAACAACCTCATTTAAAGATATACAATATTTGGGCTGGGTGTGGTGGCTCACCCCTTTAATACCAGCCCTTTGGGAGGCTGAGGCGGGTGGATCACTTGAGGCCAGGTATTGAAGACATGCCTGGCCAACATGGCAAAAACCCATCTCTATTAAAAATATGAAGATACTATACTATATCATGTATAAGAACTTTATTACTGTACGCTCCCATTTTTTTCTGTCTATGATAGAAACCCGCAATACATATTTGTTATTTTCGCTTTAAACAGTCAATTACCATTTCAAGAGATTTAAATCAGAAAAAAAAAAAAGGCTTAACATTTACCCACATAGTTACCATTTCTGGTATTCTTTATTTCTTTGTGTAGATCTGGATTGCCAGCAGCAACTTACACGTTTATTAGTTTACTTGAAACTGTCCCCAAAGCTCACTAATGTTCTTTACTTTTTTACAGTAAACAACCCATAATGAGGAAAAAGTCACAACTGACCCAGAAATGATAGAGATGATAGAATTAGCTTAGAAAAGGACATTAAAGCAGTTATATCTGTATTTCATGGAGAAGCTAAAAGACACATTGAACAATCTGTGTAGACACGTGGAATATAAACGCAAAGCAAACTCCTAGAGATAAAAATTGCAGTGTCTGAGTTGAAAACTACACTAGATGAGATTAATAACAGACTAAACAGAAGGAAAGATTAGTAAATTTGGAGATATAGCAATAAAAAGCTTTCAAAAATGAAACAACAGAAAGGTACTATTAAAATTGATGAAAGAGAAATACAATTTGCTAATATCTGGAATGAAAAAAGGAGCTATTACAGAATTTAAAAGATACTGGAAGGATAGATATGAACATCTTACGTAAATAAAGTTGAAATTTTAGATGAAATAGACAAAATCGTAAAAAATGACTTATGAAAACTGGCACAAGAATAAATAGAAAATGTTAATACTTTTGTATATATTAAACCCGTGATTAAAAATATTTGTTTATAGAAGACTTCAGGCCCAGCAAGCTTCAAGGAATTCTTACAATTATGTAATGAAAAAATAACATTGATCTTATATAAACACTTCAAGAGAATTTTTAAAAAGAGGTAACATGTCCCAATTTATATTATGAAACCATCATAGCCTAAGTAGCAAAACCTGAAAAAAACTTTACAGGAAAGGAAATTTTCAGCCAGTCTCATGAGCATAGGTGTTAAAATCTTAAACAAAATGTTGTCTAATTTAATCCAGCAATACATAAAAAAGAACATCACAAACACAGTTGTATTCTAGAAATGCAGGCTAGGTCTAGCACTAGGAAATCTATTGCCGTTGTTCTTCTGTTTGTATTTAGAAGTGCTACATATATACTCCACATTTTATGCAGATTATTACAAAGGCATACTCAGAGGTCATGACTTAATAAAACTCTTAGCTGTAAATAGGTGGAAATTTTTTTCAATGTGATAAAGAATATCTACAAAGCATATAGCAAATGCTATATTAAATGGTGAAATACTGAAAACTTTCTCTTTGAGGTATGGAAGAAGAGAAAGATGTTTGCTGTCAGCACTTTTATTTGACATTGTGTTGGAGGTCCTTGCCAGTTAGAAGTTACAAACAAGAAATAAAAAGCATAAAGTTTTGAAAGACAAAGTTGCCACTGATGATCACAGAAAATTGAACAGAATCTATGGATAAAGCCTTAAAATTAATAAGTGAATTTAGTGAATTCTCTTCAGAAATCTATTTTATTTCTGCCTACTAGCCACAAATAGTTTGAAAATAAAAGGTGAAAGATAACACTTACGTTAGCATTCAGAAACATCGAATACCTTGACTTAAATGAAAGATGAACTCTACACAGAACTCTATAAAAATTACTGAAAACTACATGAATAAATAGATTATATAATTTTCATGCAGAAGACTATTGTAAAGAAGTCAGTTTTTCCAGAGTTGCTATACAAATTTAATGTGATTCCAGTCCAGATGTTCTTTGTGGGAAGAGAGGCGATAGGTAAAAAATAAGCTGATAGTAAAACAAAAATGAGAATCCAAATGACTAAAGTTAGCTAAAGAAAATATTGAAGGCTGGGTGCAGTGGCTCACGCCTGTAGTCCCAGCACTTTGGGAGGCTGAGGTGTGGGTAGATCATGAGGTCAGGAGTTTGAGACCAGCATGACCAACATAGTGAAACCCTGTCTCTACTAAAAATAACAGAAATTAGCCAGGCGTGGTGGCACACACCTGTAATCCCAACTACTTGGGAGGCTGAGGCAGGACAATCACTTGAACCCAGGAGACGGAGGTTGCAGTGACCCGAGATTGCACCATTGCACTCCAGCCTAGGTGACAAAGCAAGACTCCATCTCAAAAAAAGAAAAGAAAATATTGAATAAAAGGATAAAACATGGAGGATTTATACTTCCAAATATATAAATGATAAAACAATAAAGCTCTATTGCATGAAAAAAATGAATTTTAAAAAGGAAAGAAGGAAATATAATAAAGATTAAGAGTAGATACTAATGCAGTAGAAAACAAGGCCTTTTAAAAAGGATATACACTATGTGATTCCATTTATACTTAGTTCAAAAATAGGAAAACCAATCAATAGTGATAGAAGTGGTTACCTGGGACAGGAGATACAGGATGGATAATGACTGATGTGCGTGATGACTGGGAGAGTACATGAGCTTCTAGAGTGCTGGTCATACAGTGTATCAGTAGTTCTCAAAGTTTGGTCCCTGGATACCTGGGTAACTGAGACCTTTTAGAGAGTCCATGAGGTCAGAACTCTTATTCATGATAATATGTATTATTTGTTTTTTCCTTTATATTTACTTTTTTTTTGAGATAGAGTCTTGCTCTCTCACCAGGCTGGAGTGCAGTGGCACCATCTTGGCTCACTGCAAATAGGCTAGTTTTCTATTCCAAAAATACCTTTTTTTGTTTGTTTCTAAATTAAAAATTTATAATGCTTATAGACAAATTCAAGCACTGTAAAAATATACACAAATGTAAGTCTTCTGGAATCCTCAGCCCCTTCCAGAAAACCATTAACAACAGTTTGACAGTTCTTCATATCTAATGTATATATTAACTTTTTTTTTAAAGTTAGATCATGTATTTATGATTTTATAAATGTGTTGAACATTTGTTTCCAATCTTCAGTATTAAAAATACTGTGATGCCTGTGATTAAAAAAAAAAAAATCTTGTTTTTTTTTATATGCTTCTTTTTGATTTCTAAGATTCTGATAGAACAGTAATTTTGCTTAAAGCCTGAGCAAAAATGTATGCATTATAGAAATATTTAATAGAGTAAAAATCTATTATATTCCTCTTTTATTAAATGTTTATGGGCTAATTATACCTGGTAAATTATGCTATAAATTGAATTTCTATACCTCTAAAAGACATGTCCTTTAGTTTGAGTATTGAGAAAATTATTTTATGATGAACATGAACTTAGCCATATGGGGCATGGAATTAGGGTGAGCACAAAAGGCCACTGAGATTTCTTCTTGCCATATGCCTGCTCAGTTGTATTTTTGCAGAATTGCTTAAGAAGTACTCCTTATATTCAGTTGCCATTTTTCTTTTTTCATTTTAGGTAACACTGTATAACACTGATCAGGATGGTAGTGATAGCCCACGCAGTAGCCTTAACAACAGTCTTTCAGACCAGAGTTTGGCATCTGTTAATTTGAACAGTGTTGGAAGTGTGCATAGTTACACACCGGTAAGTCTTCATGAAGTTAACATGTTAATAGTTATTCATTTAGTACTTAAAACTAAACCAAACATAATTGAAATGCAAATTTTAAAATGAAGGTATGTTTTTCTCACTAATAAATTTATTAACTTAGTAAGTAGATAAAACTTACTTAGAGGAGATTGTAACTTGTTAGGGTTTTAATTTGGTACCATATTCGATTTTTAAAAAATGGTTGTACAATGTTAACAGATTTTGGTCTACTTTATTCTGTCTGTTCTGTGTCCAAGAGAAAAGCCATTGGAACAGGAAAAAAATTACACTTTAGTCTAGTAGAGCGATAGTTGGTGATATTCTATACTTCTTAGAAAAAGAGCTTAGAAGATGTGTGTGTCAACATGGTTTCCAGCTGTAGATCTGAGAAGGGAATTCTGTAAACCCCAGAGGTTAGGGTGGCCTGGTACTCAATTTTTAACTACTCATGTATTTTCAGTTTGGATCCAGGGGGCAAAAAGCCATGCTATAAAGGGACCTGTGTATGAGTACTCTTGCTTCTATACTAATTTGTTACCTATTACAAGAACATGACTCTTAGGGTATCTGTTATTCTTTTCAAACTACCTGGCAACTGTCTTCCTCAGTGAGCAGATGATAGAGCCCAAGAGCTACACACCACATTGTTTGTCCGTGTAAACTTGATCTTACCAGATCACTCCCTGTTGTTCTAGGATGAGTAAATAGGAAAAAACTTACACAGGACAAAGATATAAAGGGAGAGACCCGAAAGAAAATAACACAAGGGAAAGAAAAACATAGCAGAATTAAAATTCACATTGAATGTAGGAAAAAAGAAAGTTGCCTCTGCAAAATTATTATTGCCCAGTGGAAAAAAGTATTATCCCACAATGGAGAAGAAAGAAAATGGAATAAAAATTATGTAAAAGAAGACAATAAATGTGGAGAACTGAGAATTGTAGTTGTCCCTGCAGAAGAAAAAGTTGTTACAGAAGCGATTTTCAGAAGAAATAGAGATTTAAAGGGATACTGAGTTCTAGAAGAAATTAATGGGGGAAAAACCTATACAGTCAGCCCTCCATATTTGTAGGTTCCACATCCACAGATTTAACCAAACTTTGGATTTGAAAATATTTGAACCACAAAATACAATTAAAAACAAAAAAAAAGTACAGCAATAAAAAATATATGCTGGAATGAGTTGGCTCATACCTGTAATCCCAGTACTTTGGGAGGCTGAGGCAAGAGGATTGCTTGAGACCAGGAGTTTGATATCAGCCTGGCCAACATAGTGAGACCCTGTCTTTAAAAAGCGAAATAGCCAGACACTGTGGCATGCACCTTAGGAGGCTGAGAAGGGAGGATCACTTGAACCCAGGAGTAATCATGTCACTCCACTCCGGCCTGGGCGATAGAATGAGACTGTATTTCTTTCTTTCTTTCTTTTTTTTTTTTTTTAAAGGAAAAAAATGTAGTTTAATAACTTTGCATTGTATTAGGTATTAATCATCTAGAGATGATTTAAAGTATATGGGAGGGTAGGTTGTATGCAAATATTATAGCATTTTGTATAAGGGACTTGAGCATGTGCAGATTTTGTATTCTAGTGGGTTGGGGTTCCTGTACCCAATCCCTCGCAGATACTAAAGGACTGCTGTATCTAGATACATTATGGCAAATTTTAAAATTTCATAAGTGGTTACCCATATAAATACTCTGACAGAATAAGTAAGTTACATATAAAGAAACACGAATCAGACCTCCGCCTCTCTTTTTCTCTCTCTTTTTAGACACAGGGTCTTGCTAAGTGGGGCAAACTGGTCTCGAACTCCTGGCTTAAGCAATCCTGCTGCCCTGTTGGCTTCCCAAAGTGCTAGGATTTCAGGCATGAGCCATGCCTGGCCACAGACTTCTCTTTGATACTACTAAATGCCAGAAGATAATGGAGCATTGTATGCAGAGTTTTGAGAGAATGAGTTTGGAATAACAAATATTATGCCCAAATTTTAATTCATGTGTGAAGGCAAGAGAAAGACTTTCTTTGATATGCAGAGATTAGAAGGTATCCTGCCCTGTTTTCATGTATCTTTCCTGAAAAAAATTATTTACCCGTGATCAAGATTAATTAAATAATAATGACAAAGTCAAGTTATAAAACAATAGTTGGAACATTGAAGCAAACTCAGCAAAGATATAATGATTTTAAGTTGCTTTTTGAAGTAATATAAGTGTAAAAAATCTTGACCAAAAGAACGCAAAGAACACTGTCCAGTATCACAAAGCATTATAAAAGGACAAATTTAAAAAGCATGTATAGAACTAGATGACAGAAGTAAGAACTAACATGTTCGTTGTGCCAATAAATGTAACAGGGTTAAACTGCCCTGTTTAAAGCGAGACTTTGTAGACTACTTTGCCTTTTTTGTTGTTTTTGAGATGGAGTCTCGCTCTGTTGGCCAGGCTAGAGTGCAATGGCGCGATTTCAGCTCACAACAACCTCTGCCTCCCAGGTTCAGGCGATTCTCTTGCCTCAGCGTCTCAAGTTGCTGGGATTACAGGCGTGAGCCACCACACCTAGCTACTTTTTGTGTTTTTAGTTGAGACAGGGTTTCACCATGTTGGCCAGGCTGATCTCGAACTTCTGACTTCAGGTGATCTGCCCGCCTTGGCCTCTTAAAGTGCTGGAATTATAGGCGTTGAGCCACCATGCCCGTCCTTGCTGTTTTCTTTCAACAATAAGGTGTCAAATGGTCGAGCAGTCCCTAAGCAACAGTGCAGTGGCAGCTGCCGATTGGGTTTAATCACACCTATATAGTTTGATCCTGTAAGGCCACAATGAGCCCACATGGATTGAGATAGTTTTATTACTTAGACAGACAGTATAAACCAGGTTAGCATGTTGTCAGCTCCCTACATCCCACATGACAGTACTAGATGAGACTACTCGAGTAGTAGCTCACTCTGTAATAGAGGAACAAATTCCATAGTGCAGCTAAGCAGTTTTGTAACCTGCAGCTGTACCCTAAGGGAGTAAGGCAGAAAGTCCCATGCCTCACTCAGCCAGGGAGGTAGATGAGAACCTATTTCTTGGCAACCTCTTGCAAAATAGAAAGGTGGATGAGTAACTGCCCCATGGCCATCTCCTGCAAGACATGAGGGCAGATGAGAATTTTAATAAATAAAACCACTTGTTCAGGATAATCACAGGGTGTTCCACCAAGGCTTAGGTCATCCTGCCATGGAGTCTTGCGTACATTGTTTGTGTGGAGATGTGTAAGGACACTAGGGTGCCAGCGGCGGAGCCATTTTCTTATGTAAAAATCCATTTTTTCCATGTTATTGCAGACTCCTTATGAGCATTATTTTTAATGGCTATGTAAGTTTCTAGTCAGTGTTCATACATTCATTTTTCAAAACACTAAACAAATGGTAGTTTACCACCTTTTCATATAGTACATAGTCTTTAAGAAATACAGATGATTATCTTTTATTGATTTTATTTCTAGTTTTCCTGCTTTTAGAGATAAGTTTTCCCTGGAGATGAAGAGTTAGGCATATTTAAGCTCCTTGTTGCTTTGGGCAGAGCCATACATCTGACTCATAGTACTCACAGTATTTGGATTTGTATACTAAAAAATAATTGAATAAATGAAAGAAATGTTAGTAGTTTTATAGTTTAGTGGAGTTTGAGATAAAATAGCTTCTGTAGAAATCACGATTGAAGATTCTACAGAAAGCCTAGAAGGATTCTAGGCCTAACTCATCACTTACTTGTATGATCTAAGGCAAGTTATTTAACTTTGAATTGTTTTCCTTCTGTGAAATATGGAGGTTGGGTTAGACTTCTACAGTTCTTCAAGATTCAGTTTAACTGTTTTGCTTTCTGTCCATTATGTTTTAACAGAGGATGGGAAAGCCTGAGACAGAAGAGTTATTTTCTTTGAATTCCAGTGTTGGCACTGTTTTCAGTTATGTATTTTATATAACAAGCCAATTGTAATTAGTAGAGAGGCTGAATTAGTTGTGTTTTCTTTTAATGTTAGGTGACAAGCCATCCAGAATCAGTCTCTCAATCATTAACTCCTCAACAGCAACCACAGTACAACCTTCCAGAAAGAGACAAGCAACTACTTTTCTCAGAATATAATTTTGAAGATCTTAGTGCCTCATTTCGGAGCCTTTATAAGTCAGTTTTTGAGCAGTCACTTAGTCAACAAGGTGAGTTTTGTTAAAACCTTTTTTATGACAAAGTTTTATTGGAAAAAGGTTTTTAAATTATTTCACATGGCAGCTGTTATACTCTTAATCTTAAAATATTATCATCACAATAAGAATTGGATAATTATATTTTGCCCTTTGTGCCTTTAGTATGTTCTGTTTATATCATAGCACAAAAATGGCAGATAAATTTTATGTTGCATGCCTACTTACTTGTTTACTAGTGTCATCCAGGAGCACTGTGTTAAAGAATTCTGACACTGCATCTATACCATATGGGAAACACCACTATAATTAATTAGTGATATCTGGCATATGAAGTGTTTGAGTGGTGAATGTTGCACCACAAGAATAGATGTGCCTTGCTTTTGGTCTGTCTGGTATTAGCAAAAAGATAACTATCAGAATGTGGTAGCACCAAATTTGTGATTTTGAGTGTGGCACTTACAAGTGAATACATCAGCTACTAGTAAACTTTGGGTCATTGTTTTACGCAATATACATAAGTCAGATTTTAATATTAAAAGTGACTTTAGTTGAGACACACTATTATATCTCCACCAAATGCTAGATTCTTGCTCTAATGTGTTCTCGTCCCATTAACTGCTGGTTTAATTTTAATCAGAGGGTAAAAATGTCACATCTTTTCCCCAAAGATGACTAGTCAGAAATTGTTGGGAACTCTACTGTTGAAGCATTTCCTAATTACTTGTTTGTTTGGCACATTAACTATTTATACCCCATGTTTTATTCCTTTCCTGCTGCTGTGTCAAAATACCTTAGAATGGGTAATTTATAAACAACAGAAATGTATTTCTCACAGTTTGGGAGGTTGGGAAGTTCAGGGTCAAGGAACCAAAAGATTTGGTGTCTGGCAAGGGCTTGTTCATCGTAAATGGTGCCTTCTAGCAGTATTCTCACATGGAGCTGAGCACTGTGTCCTCATGTGGCAGACGACATGGAAGGGCAAAAAGTAGTTCTCTCCATCCCTTTTGCAAGGTCCAATCCCTCATTACCTCCTCAAGGTCCCACTTCTTAATACCATCACCTGGGGGTTTAAGTTCCAACATGTGAATTTTGGAGGGACACATACATTGAAACTGTAGCACCCCAACCCAGAAAGTTTATATATTCACAGCAGTGAACAAAAAGGAACAGAAATCCTTGTCTTTATACTGTTTGCATGTTAATACTTTCAGTTAATGTTAATGTTATATACTGTTACTTATATTAATGAATACTGATCATGTGTATGTGAAATGGCTTTTTCTGGTTAGCATTTGAATTTAAAGTAAGATTCATATGTTTTCTCAACTTTTAAGTTTTTTATCTATAAAAGTATAAAAAGAACTAATAGAAGAGTTTGCTAAGCAAATCCAGCCTTGGTATTCATAATAGAAAAATAAGGGCTTTGAAATAACAATGACAATTTCTGAAACCCATAATTCCATTCCATCACACTATTTAAAAAAAAAAAAAAAAAAAAAAAAGGCATCGATGGGAATTCTGGGTTCTAGTCCAGGTTCTGCCATTAAGTCAACTGAGTTAACTTCTCATCTCTGGACCTCAGTGTCCCCATTTGTACAATAAAGAGGATTGGATTAGATCAGTGATTTTCAGATTGTTTTCTTCAGAGGCTTTGGCTTTTGTAAAGATCTTCGGGACTGCCAGAGGAGAAATGTGCGGATGCAGAGGTAGACCTAGTAAGCTTCCTTCCCCAGCTTCAAAGAAACAATTTTAGTATACTTATCAGTTTTATATATTGGGCTTCTGGAGAGATATTTTGCTTTCTTTTATTTAAAAATAATTTGAGATTGAAAATGTTGATACAGATCAGACCTTGGTTCCTTTGTAAAATGCTAGGATTTTATTGAAAATTGATAAAGTACTGCTTTCTTTGATCTTACGGTAATAACCCTACAGATTCCTTATATGTGACTATTTTCTAGGGCCAAGGCAAGAACTTTTATTAACTCTTCTGCCTGTAAAACTTGGTAGCTTTTAAGATTATCTTGCAGTGTACTCAAATACAGTTTTACTACTAATTACAAATGTGAGAATAATTTTATCTTTTTAAAACTTGGTTATTTTATTGATTGATATTATCTTGCGGTTTTTTTTTTCATTCAATAAAATTATTTTTATGTTTGGTTCAGCATAACATTGCATGGGCCACCCTTTGGGATTTGAAAATAGTCTAGTTACATAGAACCAAATGTTGCAGTAAGATTATCTAACTACTTGCAGACCAAACAAAAATTATCCTTAACATTAAGCACTTTTGGCTTAATCATCATCATGGCAGCTAACATTTATAGAGCTCATCCTGCAGCTTATACCTTCACTATGTAGAAAGTAAAAAGTTCCTCTTCAAAAGTTTCCCTTCTTGTTAAAGAATAAATCATAAGTGTTAGAAATAATAGTTTCTTTTAAAAACTAACTTCCTTTAAGCCTCCTTACTTTATGCTAATAACTCTTTGTTGGGCCCTATCCTATGTAGCTGTTAAACATGCTCACAGGCGCCTAGTACATTGTATGTCCTTGTACCTTAACCAAGATGTTTGTGCTGGACGTGCTCACAGGCACATTCCAGCTCGCAGCCTATGCCCCTTCCCTAATTTGGCATAAACAACGTCCTCTTTTCCTTTGTCTTTCCATTACTTTTACCTATTTGGAAAAGTTTTAAACTGTTAGCCAGTTGGGTTTTAGTTTAGATTGTGCGATCTTCTATCAAAGCCTTGGTCTTTATGCCTACAGGGAACCATCCTGAGTGTGACCCCAACACCTTTCCCACTTTTCCCCTAACATTTACTTACCTTTCAAGACTCAATTCAGGCACTGTCTTTAAAACAAAGGCTTTTCTATATTTTGAGCCTCCTCCTAGCTGAACAGACAAGGAGTAGTTTTCATAATCCCTTGTATACTTTAGTTTTAGTACTTATATTGTTGGTCATAATCTTGTCTTTCTCTTCCGCTCAAGGGTGGGGAATTATATTTCTTCTCAATAACCACAGAGCCTAGTTTGTAGTGGATGTTGCATTAGCACTTGTTAAATTGAACCAGTGTAGCTCCCTGGCATCATATGCTTTTGCTACATTAATAATTTTACAAACGTTTGTCATAAAATACAGCTGAAATCTGACCATAAACGATCTTGCTCTCTCTGACTGTTTTTAGGTTTGATGAACATCCCTTCTGAATCTTCCCAGCAGCCCCACACTTCATGTTCCTATCAGCACTCTCCCAGCAGTACAGTGAGCACTCACCCACACAGCAACCAAAGCAGCCTGTCCAACAGTCATGGCAGTGGCCTCAACACCACAGGCAGTAATTCGGTTGCACAGGTCTCACTCTCTCACCCCCAGATGCACACACAGCCATCTCCACATCCTCCCCATCGACCTCATGGTTTACCACAGCATCCGCAGCGTTCCCCGCACCCAGCACCACACCCACAGCAACACAGCCAGCTCCAGTCTCCTCACCCCCAGCATCCCTCTCCACATCAACACATACAGCACCATCCGAACCATCAGCATCAGACGTTAACACATCAGGCACCCCCACCCCCACAACAGGTATCCTGTAATTCTGGTAAGTTTTTGTCTCCTGGCTTGTGTTTGGCTAACTGTGAATTAGGATCTGTCATTTGTTATTTGGAGCTCATGTAGTATTTGCTACCAAAACCTCTTTTCATCTGTTGCCTTTTGTGTTTCCTTGCTATAATCCTATAGTTGTAACTCATTTAATTCATAGACTGACCTGGCGATTTTCTTGATTAAAATTTATTGTGGCAACATAGGCAAACCCAGCAACCCTTGCAGGTTTTGATTTTAACTATTGTTTGTAATTTAGATACATTATCTTACATTATCCTCCCAAATCAAGTATAGATGACCACATTTTATATATAGGAAAATGCAACTAAAAGAATTTTAAGTAATTTGCTTAAGATCATACGGTGGTAAGTGGTAGAATTGGGGTTTAAATTCTGACACGTCTGACTTCAAAGCTTGTAACACCAGTTATTCTAAAAGAACTAAAATTAGCAGATATTTACTAAGTGGGTAGGGTTTGCTCACCCACTCTTTGCAGAGTTTGCTTTATTTTTATTTGCCAAGTTAGTATTTATTAAAGGAGCCTCCTCTTCCTCTTACCCACAACAACAAATTAGTCATGGCAAATGCCCTGGTTCCTGGTCATAATTTCATTTCAGTTAACCTTTTTCCTACCCTGACCTTTTGACTACCTGAGTTGCGTTTACCTCAAGAGATCGGGATTCTAGTACTGCTTTGGCTGTTGTATTACTAAGTGACTTAAATCATATAATTCCTTTGAACTTTGGTTTTCTTATCTGTGAAGTTCTTGAACTAAAGGATCTGAGTCTGGTAGACTTGCATGTTCGTGGCCCATTTGGGTATTAGTTTAATCCCCTCCCACCCCGCAACAAATTTCTTCCTAAATAATGACTTGCTTCATGGCAGGGTCATGTTATCTCTAGTTGATTGTTTATTTTAAAAATCCATAATTGGCAGAATTTTGTAATCAAGTAGCCAGTAGTTGATATAGCCAAGAGATGCCTTGATGTAGCAAAAGCAAACCAACCAACCCTTTTTGTTGGTCTTTATCTTCATCCATGCAGGGGTGATCCTAGAAACAGAGTGGCTTGACAGCAGTCACTGAATGGAGAATTTTCTTCCTGTATTCAGCACTGCTGTCTTATTGAGGGTAACTCTTGCTACATGGCCTCTGACTAATGACTGGTTTGCTGACATACAGATTATGGAGTCTTAAACTCTTCTGATGTCATACCAGAGGATACCATTTCTGACTAGAAATGCCGTGACGTGGATTCATCAGCATTTCTTACAGAGATCTCACTCCTCTTCCTTCACTAACTTGGCAGGGGGACTGTGTTAAATATTTTTCTCCTGAGATTGCCTTGGAAGAAGCATTTACTCTTACTATATGATCTGATCCACCTGCCTTAAGTCATGGCATTAAATTGTACTGTGTATTGCCTCTAAATGAGAACCTGCCTCTCTAAGTTCTTTTAAGGTCATAGCAAGACAGGAAAATGAACTTTATATAGGGGAAAATACAGATTTGCAATGACATTTCCCACCTGTTCGTTTATTGGTACTGTAATGTAAAGAGCAGTATCAAGTTTGATATTACTAGGTGATGTGGCAGTTTGGAAGTTGCCAGTCTGGAGGTTAGAAGACCTGGGTTCAAGTCTTAGATTCATCATGATAACCTTGCTAAGTTATGTCACCTCTCTGGTTTAGTTTCTTTTATTTGTAAAACGGAGAGAAATAATACCTTTCTGCCTATCTCACAGAGCAGATTGCCCAACACATGATAATAATGAGTACAAATCCCCTTGTAAGACTGGACAAGAATCAGCCAATTTCAGGAATAGGGCCAGCTCATCGTTTTCCCTTACCACACTTCACCCTTTCACCATCCAGGAATTAGACTGTTGTCAATATTACTTTTATAGGTGTTTCAAATGATTGGTATGCGACACTTGATATGCTAAAAGAAAGCTGTCGAATTGCCAGCAGTGTTAATTGGTCAGATGTAGACCTTTCACAGTTTCAAGGTGAGTGTTGGTTGTTTTTGACATATAACCAAATACACATGATCCTGTTTCTCTGCGAGATTATAACTTTCTTTGTTGTAGAAATAAACATCTTATATAGCATTTCTTTGCAGTTGGTAAAATTCATAATGATTTTGGCCAGTTGATATAGCAGAGGGTCACAGACAAGTTCTGAAAGAAATTTGGCCACATTTAAAATAATAGGGCTTTGAATAACTTAAAAAGATCATTCTTCATTGCGTGGGCAAATCACTGCCATAAAATGGAGTGAGTGGAAATTCTGAGGGCTGAAAAAAATTGTATCTTGCTATTTTCCTTGCAATGTTTGTTGCATAACTGTGCTAACATATTTTTAATGCTTTCCTCATAGGTCTGATGGAGAGTATGAGACAGGCAGATCTCAAGAACTGGTCTTTAGATCAAGTTCAGTTTGCCGATCTCTGTTCTTCTCTTAATCAGTTCTTTACACAAACTGGCCTTATTCATTCACAGAGTAATGTTCAGCAAAATGTTTGTCATGGTGCCATGCATCCAACAAAACCTTCCCAACACATTGGAACAGGTATGGGCTTAGTTATCTTCTTGATTTTTCTCATTTTCTCATTCATACGAAATGTAGTAACTGTCTTAACCAACTTGGTTTGCTGCTAATGGTGACAGTGATCTGTTTACAAATTTTTATTTATAAGAAATGAATGAAAGCAAATAATTTATATGTAGGGTATATCTTAGAAAAATTGAGGTAAAGAGACTGTGTATTCTTCTGTTGTGATTTATATGATTGCTTTATTATTTACAGTTAACTGTTGTCATTAACCTTTTACTAAGTTATCAAACAAGAATTAAATTGTATTGGAGATAACTTACGTTTTTATATGACATAATTATGAGATTATATTAATTTAAATTTATACAGATCTGCAATGGAAATTGGCGTGTCTTGTCTATCTCCTAGAGTGTTAAAATTCAAGAATTCAAAGTGTTTGAAGAGTGGACGTAATGGAATATAGTCTCACTGATGTTTTACTTTAGACCCAAAATCTTTCCTATGTATTTTTAAAATCTCGCTTTCTTCCTTTATTCTTTACCCTTGCAGCCATGTCTTCTGCTCTGATTGCACTGCCCACATTTTTCTATAGGAATTTCATATCCAAGTTACTTCTTTCTTCATTTTAATTCCTTACCTTGTCTTATCATCAGGTTTATTTCTTTTCTGTGTGTTATATTGATTTTACATTTTATGCCAACAAGCTGTCTCTTCTCTGTCCTGAGTGGCTTCCTTTAACCATTATTCTATCTTATTTCACATCTTTCGTTCACCCATGGTTTGAGTTTATTCAACTCAAGCTTATCAATCTATGTCTTTCTTTTCATGAAATCTTTATTTCTATATCCTTTGATGTAGTGGAAATCTATTATCTTTTCTTCTTCCATCTTGAATAGCTTTTCCTAAGCTATTTTGAATTGCTTATCCTGCCTGAAACTTTCAGTCACTCTTTGATTCTGGTGATCTATTCATTCAGTGAATTATATCCACACAAGGGCCTCATTCAGTCCCCTGACTGATTTCTCTCTGTGCCAGAGAGAATTTAGTTTTTGATAACTTTTTAGCTTCTTTGTCTCTCTCTCCTTTTGTTAGTTCTTTTTGGTATCTTTCTGATATATATTCATTTTTAAGCATCAAGATCTCTATAATTCAGGTATCCTCACTTATGTGCCCTTCTTCCATTTCATTTTTTAAAATATTTTCTTGCAGATGGACAGCATGTCTTCTTTGTTTCTCTCATGGGTTCTAAGCCCATACTTTGTCCCTTTCAGGATATATCACTTTCAGTTTTTCAACTTGCTTTAAGTTCTTAGACCAGGTGTACCACCTCCCTGTTTTTTATCCCTTTTTTCTCCTTTCCTCTTTTCTTTCTGTATTCATCCAAAATTGTTGCTTCTAAGTGCTGTCATGCTGTTCACTTCTTTGCTAACTCCACCTCTAATCATTTCAGTCAGCCTCAAAAAGTACTAAGTGAAATTAAATAGCTTATATATATATCACTAGTCTTATGTGTTTGGAGGTAAGTACCTGTGTTGCTCATAGATTGTTGCCTCAGGCAGGACAAGTAGAAGAAGTTGTGGGTCAGTCTTAGAAGAAGGCAGCCTTGGCCAGGCATAGTGGCTCATGCCTGCAACCCCAGCCCTTTGGGAGGCTGAGGCAGGCTGATCACCTGAAGTCAAGAGTTTGAGACCAGCCTGGCCAACATGGTGAAACCCCGTCTCTACTAAAAATACAAAAATTAACCGGGTGTGGTGGCACGTGCCTGTAATCCCAGCCACCTGGGAGGCGGAGGTTGCAGTGAGCCGAGATCGTGCCACTGCACTCCAGCCTGGGCAACAGAGGGAGGCTTCGTCTCCAAAGAAGAAGAAGAAGAAAAAGAAGAAGAAGAAGAAGGCAATCTCAAAAGCCAATGTACATGTTAGCCAGTAGCTCCCACATTGTTGAATTTCAGTTTTGTGCCCTAAGTCTGTAAGAAAGGTCTATGTGTAGCTTTTGGTCTTGGAACTTGGTAGTTTTGTCATGGAAAAAAACACTGTTTATCTACTGCTGTCCTCTGTCAGAGAGTACCCAGGCACTCCTGGATTCTCTCTAGACTGAGAATCCTGAGTTACTTTCCTAAAGCCCTTTGTTCCTAGACTTCTGTAGTCATCTCTTCTTGAGCCTTGACCTTGGTTATTTGTTCTGGTGTTCTGTGATTCTGTTAATTTTTTCTGTCATCTCTTTTGTCAGGGCCCTCCTCCTCTCTAGGGTCCCAGTGACACCTTTGTGATTCTCAGTGCTACCCTAGTCACAGCTTGTCAAAGGTAGAAAAACTGTAGTTTTTCTTTAGTGTTTATTCAGTTCTTTCTACTCTCAGCCCCCTTTTGTATCTTCCTTCTGACTCATGCCTGCCAAGCTGTGTTGGCCTCTGACAAGTTGTTCTCTCATCAGTTATGGTGCTCCAAGTATTCATCACTTCATGCCTGCTGATGTCTGTTCACAAATATTCAGATTTTTTTTACATGTCCAGCCTGCTTCCTCTTGTTTTAAGTGTCTTTCTGTCATTCCTTTTTTCTCTTCCTTATATCCCTGTATATCACATCCATTCAGATCTTTCACTTCCCTCATCTCTACACCCCAATAAATCGTTGTCATAATTTCTTAGAAGTATAGTCAAGAGGAGACTTTCAGAGGGCTGCTGATTTTATCCCTTTATTTAACAGATAAGGACATTTTGATCTAGGGGGAGAAAGTGACTTGCCCAAAGTTGTAAAATTCATTTAGGTGTAGGTCTTGAGTCCCAGAATATAGTCTCTCCATTTCCTTAAACCTTTCCCGTTATTCCTGTTTTCAGGGACGCTCTTTTGGCGAACACCTCCTTCAGCTTCCTATAGACTCCAGAAATTAGTGGTGTAGTGTGCTAGTGTGGAAGGGAGAAGGGGAGAAGGATGTTATAGAACACAGTCTATGACATCTTTTCCTAAATCTTTTTACCTGTGGTTATAATTTGTTTATATCTTCTGGCTGTACTACTGTAATTTGATGCTTTGCTTAAAGGTCATTAAATATAGGTAGGGATGCAGTCATTGAGTACATACTAGACACCTTTTCTGTGTCTAGCTGTGTATTGGGCACTGAAAATAAAGACATGACCCCTGTAGTAGCTTTTGTCTCAAAGAGTTCACAACCTAATGGTTGAGACAGGTCCATCAAGAAATACAATATGTTAGGGAGGCCTCTTAGGAAGGCCGAGGCAGGTGGATCATAAGATCGGGAGATAGAGACTATCCTGGCTAACATGGTGAAACTCCGTCTCTTCTAAAAAAATATTTAAAAAATTAGCCGGGCATGGTGGTGGGTGCCTGTAGTCCCAGCTACTTGGGAGGCTGAGGCAGGAGAATGGCGTGAACCCGGGAGGCAGAGCTTGCAGTGAGCCAAGATTGCGCCACCACATTCTAGCCTGGGCGGCAAAACGAGACTCCGTCTCCAAAAAAAAAAAAAAAAGAAATATAGTATGTTGAGGGCTACACTTCTCCATAGGGTATAAGTGCAGTAAGAATTCAGAGAAAGGGGTACATACTTCTCTTGGAAAGATGAAAATTTTCCTAGAAGACAACACATTTAAGCTGGACTTTGTAGGTTAAGTGGGATTTTGCAAGACAGGTCAGATCATGTCATGTCTGTTTTCTGCTCAGAATGCTCCATCTTTCTCAGTAAAGACCAGTGTTGTTACTATGGCCTATATGGCCTACACAATCTGATCACCCATTATGTCTGATCTTGTCTCCTGCCTTCTCCCCTCCACCCTTGTGCTCCAACACTACTGGTCTCCCTGGTGTTCTTTGAACACACTAGGTAGCACACTCTACCTAACCAGGGCCTTTGTACTTGCTCTTCCCTCTTGTTCAGAGTGGCCTTCCCTAAGATAGACACATGACTCATTTTCTCATCTTGTTCTCTTTTTTTCCTCAAAAAAACACCTGCTCAGGGGATGCCTTCCTTGGTGGTCCAGCTTGGTGCAGTCTTTAGAAAGTGCACTAGCCGTGCATGTGAAGACCAATCAGCATTTGGAGACAGGATTCCGCCCTGCGTCACTTGCACCAGTATTAGAGCTATAGTTTAGTATAACGTTTCTCCTCTTTTTTCTTTCTAAATCATCAGTATGGTCAGTCAATCAAAGAGCTCAGTTCTGACTATAAACTTCACTGATGAAAGGCATGTTATCATGGGAGGCAGGGACGGGGGTCAGAAGTGTTGGATTCTGGTCCTGGTGCTCTCTCATTTCCTCTGTTCCTGTTTCCCTATCTACATGGACAGAGGTAAGGTCAGATTAGATTATCTCTGAGGCCATCTCAAGCCTGGATAGTCTGGCTTTCCACTGGAGGGTAAAGACTTGTGAGCAGCCAAATACAGAATGCCTTACCTTAATAGAAGTGGAAGATTTTTTCCACTCTTTTTAGTTTCCTCTGGGAAAATGATTATTGTTTTTTAGTTTCATTACAACATTACTAGAATTCAAGTGTAATTTACATGAAATACTAAATAACCTTAGGGAAGTAGCCTTTCCAGAATTCCAGATGTTCCTTACAATGTGAACCACTTTTATAATCATTCCTCATGAGTTATTGGGGGAGGGGTCATATTTGTTCTCTCTCTTTTGTATTATGATGTAACGTAGTTGACATTTTGGAGGTGTTAACACTTGATGTCTCCTGTTAATGAAAATATATTAAGAAACTTCTGAAATAAAATTTGAATGAGATCCATGGTCCCCATCCTCACACTACAGAATAATACTCCCCTTCCCCCTCCCCTCCCCTCCCCTCCCCACTCCCCTCTCTTTTGACAGAGACTCACTCTGTTATCCAGGCTGGAGTGTAGTAGCACTATCTCGGCTCACTGTAACCTCCATCTCCCAGGTTCAAGCGACTCTCCTCCCTCAGCCTCCCGAGTAGCTGGGACTACAGGTGCATGCCACCACGCCCAGCTAATTCTTTGTATTTTTAGTAGAGACAGGGTTTTGCCATGTTGGCCAGTCTGATGTCGAACTCCTGACCTCAGGTGATCTGCCCACCTCTGCCTCCCAAAGTGCTGGGATTACAAGCCTGAGCCACCATGCCCTGCTCAGAATAATACGTTTTTAACCATTGCTTGATGTAGCTGTTTTACTATGTGCAGATCTTTACTGGTACCTTGTGCTTCCCAGGCACAAGGGCACACATGGTTAGGCCTGCTTCAAGGGTGAGAACATCAGGGAAATAGTGAATAGGTGGTGATGTAGAAAGAGTCCATGAGTGGCTGGGTGCTGTGGCTCATGCCTGTAATCCCAGCACTTTGGGAGGCCAAGACAGGTGGATCACTTGAGGTCCTTGAGGTCAGGAGTTCAAGATCAGCCTGGCCAACATGGTGAAACCCCATCTCTACTAAAAATACAAAAATTAGCCAGGCATGGTAGTGCATGCCTGTAATCCCAGCTACTTGGGAGGCTGAGGCAGGAGAATCGCTCGAACCCGGGAGGCAGAAGTGGCAGTGAGCTGAGATTATGCCACTGTACTCCAGCCTGGGTGACAGAGTGAGACCCTGTCTCAAAAAAAAGAGTCTATGAGTTAGGAGATCTGGATTCTAGTCCTAGCATTGTCAAACTTAACGTGTCTTTGGGCAAGTCAAGTTAGCCTTTCTGAGTTTCAATTGCCTCATCTGCCTCAAATGTAAAATGGGTATAACAATCCCTGTCTTGCCCTCCTTTGGGGCTTAGTGGGAGGGTCAGATGAAGTAATGGATACAAAAATACTTTTGAATCGTAATGAGGTATGTGACAGCAGCAATACTAGACATAACTTGCCTACCAGTCTACAGTTAGTGGCAGTGCCATCATTAGTTCCAGTGTGTTCACACCCAGCCTGGCACCCTGTTCAAAAGGCCAAGACCACAGTTAAAGCATCTGAAAAGAGTAGTATTTTCTTCCTCTTTTTTCCTCACTTTACCTGCTTAGTTTACTTTCAGGGTAACAATTCTGTTAAGATTTTAGTACTCCATTTGTTTTATTTGTGGTAACATATTTTCCCTCTTTCTGTTTTTACTCTGATTAGGAAATTTGTACATAGATTCTAGGCAAAATCTCCCTCCTTCAGTGATGCCACCCCCTGGTTATCCTCATATCCCACAGGCACTCAGCACTCCAGGAACAACGATGGCAGGTAATGTGTGTGTGTGTGTGGGTGGGTGTGTGTTTGGGTGTGTGATTTATTACCCAGAGTTTAATATTGAGAAGCGTTAGCTTTCCCAGTGGTGAATGAGGTGGCTTCAAGGAGAGAACCCCCTGTTAAGAGGGGCTAGGGGACAATGTCTGGACAGCCACTTGGCACTGGTGCTAACGAAGGGATTCAAGCATCAGTTGGTGTTTGGACTGTAGGACCTGAAGTCCTTTTTAGCCCAAGATGCAATGATTCTCCTTACTCTAGTTATTTATTGTCTTGCCTCTCTAAGAAGTCCTGGGGTCACAGTTGAGGGTGTTTGACAGGACTTTAGCAGGTTTTAGGAACCTACTTTATTAGCTCCTGTAGATTCTGCTTCATTCATTCCAATGGAGTTCCCACAGCTGTAGTTTCCAGGGAAGTACCTCGTAGAGAAGGTAAATTTTAGGAGTTAACTGGTTCATAAACTTTTCCCGCTGGGTTCTTGAATGCAGGATACGTTTCATTTAACCAGGGGAATACGGCACATTGTTAGAGCTGGAAAGTGTCATAAGGATCCCTTAGGATAATGGAGGCTCCGAAGGAGAAATGCCTTGCCTAGGCCACCCAGTTTAGTGAGTGGCCAAACCAAGACTCAAGCCCCAGTGTCTGGATTCAGAGTCCATTGTTTTTCTCAGCATACCACACAATCCTTTACTTAGGCTCTTTGAGGAAAAGACATAAAGGTAATGGGGTTGAGGGTGGAATTAAAACCTTGAAGAACTGTGTGGTAGACAGCAGGGAGGAAGGAGTTGGGACCAAGTGATATATCCTTTGCTGAAGGGGGAAGGAATGTTACTGTTGTGAGTGCTTACTAGTAAATTGTAAGTGGTACCATAAGGTGGATAAGACTCTGGAGCCAGAGCGCTTGTGTTTAAATCTTCATGCTTTGCCACTTAATGGCTGTGTGATATTAGGCAAGCTACCTAACCCTCCTACCTCAGCTTCCCTGTTTGTACAAGAGGCTAATAACACTACCTAGGTCCTCGAGTTGTTAGGATTAAATGAGAATTGTGTAAATTAGTGCCTGACCCACATTAAGGAACTTACAGGTTTTTTTTCAATGAAGGCATTTCGCCTATATTGTGATATACTGAAAATCTAAGCATTAAATAATTGTACAAGAAAATATTTCAGGGCATATGAGAAAAATGAGTAGCAGACTACTTGAAATTTTGTAATCAGAGTACTGGAAAAATAATCCAGTAAAACTTCCACAACAGTTAAAAGGATATGTATAATTTGTAATAAAAGAAAGAATTCTACAAGTAAATATCAACCTCTACTTTTATAAAGCAGCTGGTTTAGAAGGGGGTCTGTCAAGATACAGTAACAGCACATGGCCAAACTGGTGCAAGAAGAGCATGGGAAGGTGGGCATTCTGTACTCAACTGTGGTTCCTCCTGGCTTCCTGTGTTCCCTTGTTGATGTTCTCTGTGTTCACTTGATGTTACTTGGTGGCACAGAAATTAGTTTGCTGGGGAAAATTCAGTATGACATCATTGGTGCACTGCTATCATTATCCTGTTTACCATTCTCATGGGAGCCAATTCATGTTCCTGAAACAACATATTGGAGCAAAACAGACTAAGAGCATTGGCTACATTGGCACTTTTCTTGTGTCTTCCTTACTGTAGCCTGGTATAACGGAAGGAGTGTGGGTCAAGTGAACTGACCTCAGATCCTGTCTTTGCCCCCTACTGGTTGTGTGACTTTGGGTAATTTACTCATCCTCTTAAACCGATACTGTCCTCTTACCTATAAAATGAGGATCATAAGGGCCACTTTTTGAAGGCTTATGGTTGGATTAGTGAGATAATGTGTACCTGGCATATAGGAAGTACACAGTAGGGGTTAGTTTATTTCTTACTTTCTTCTCTACCCAAGTCGCTGCTAATATTGCCTCTTTCCTTCCAGGCCATCACAGAGCCATGAACCAGCAGCACATGATGCCTTCCCAAGCCTTCCAGATGCGGCGCTCCCTGCCTCCAGATGACATCCAGGATGACTTTGATTGGGATTCAATTGTGTAAGGGCTTGTTTCTGCAAGACACCAGACCCTAACGTTACCTTTCTGTGCAGTGAAGGGAAAGGTTTAAGAGAATCCAGTTGAGAAAACAAACTTGCTAATCACTTTACCAATGTTATCAAAATTACTTTTGAAGACAATCAGAAGGATTTTAGCTGGATAACTTACTGCTTTTATCTGACCTGAACAAGTACTACATGTTTGTCTCCCTGCCAGCTGCCCTATGTAGCTCCTAACTGTTGTGTGATTTGGACGGCTTTTTGTGTATTTGTGTCAGTTTGATGTTAACCACAAGTGCCAGACTGATTTTTCAGACGGAGCCTATTTTGCTGCAAGCAGTTTATATAAAGATACATATGTGTAAATATATGTACAAAAATTACTGAAAGGCTTCAGTTTTTTCTAATTGGATTATTATGTCTTGAAAGGAAAGTTATTGTCAGTTTTTATTCCTTGTTAGGCTATTTTCTGCAGGATGCTTTTAACTGATGTAGGAAACTGAAAGGAAATAGATTTTTTCCAAAGCCAGTTCCCCTTATTTAATCTTTTTTAGAAATGTGGGTAATCTAAGTCAAGGAACCCAGGATTTGACATTCTCCAACAATCCATAGGGGCATGTTGCTCCTGAGCAGCATGAAGAACTGACCAAATTGGTTTTGATGCTTGGGGGATCATAGAGTATTTATGTCTGCTTTTCTAAATCTGTGTTATAACAGCTCTAAAATTTGTTGTTTGGTAAGAAGTTGGGCATTGCTTGGCTCTTTAAACACATCAGTGCTTCCATATTCATCTATGTATTTATTATTCAGAAGTGTTATTTTAATATTTATTGCTACCTTCTGTGAATGCTCAACTCCTGTTGGGTTCATTAAGGAAAAATGTGTCTGAAAGCACAGAATTACTTTTTTTTTTTTTTTTTTTTTTTTGAGGTGGAGTCTCACCCTGTTGCCCAGGCTGGAGTGCAGTGGCGCGATCTCAGCTCACTGCAACCTCCGCCTCCTGGGTTCAAGCGATTCTCCTGCCTCAGCCTCCTGAGTAGCTGGGAGTACAGGTGCACACCGCCATGCCTAGCTGATTTTTTGTATTTTAGTAGAAACGGGGTTTCACCATGTTGCCCGGGCTGGTCGCAAACTCCTGAGCTCAGGCAGTCCGCCTGCCTCAGCATCCCAGAGTGCTGGGATTACAGGCGTGAGCCACTGCGCCCAGCCCAGAATTACTTTTCTTGATAAGAATTTATAGACAAGACACTCAGACATTGTGTCATTCTCTGTCATCACTCCTTTTACCATGTGAATAGATTTCTCTGTCTTGGCATTCTTGCTAATTCAGACTTATTAGTTAAATCGGATTTTTCTGGAATTTGAATCAGATTCCATTTGGGCAACAATAGCAGGGCAGTGTTTCTAAAGCAAGTTTCCCCACTCATCTAGGTTGTCTTGAAAGGAGGATAGAGCCACTTACAATTTTATTTGCTTCAGTGTTTAATGTAGATATTATGTAGCCTGCTGTTTCTGTTGTCCTGTATGTCTTTGTATGCATGACATTTGGTCCCTTTCTTTGAAATGCAGCCCACCTCTTAATGGTTTTTTTTAGTGGTGGTGGTTTGTTTTGTTTCATGTCATATCGCAGTTTGCATGGACTGATTATCTTAGTTTTATGATAAAACTAGAAATGGGGGTTTTTTTTTTTTTTTTTTTGATGAATAGATTTTGAATTGATTCTTTAGACCAAAAAAAAGTGTCAGTTCTAATGGGGAAAAATATTCCATCAAGTCAAAGAGTAGTAACTGCTCACTGGTCGCTTTTTAGCATCTCTGGTCTTAGCAGTCATGCTAAATCACTTTAATTAGCCTTAGTGATTCTATGGTTGAGTAATCTCTACTTGAACTAAACAAACATCTTTTGTTTTTGTGTGTGTGTGCTGTGTGTGAGAGAGTGTGCCTGTGTGTGTGTGTGTGTGTGTGTGTGTGTGTGTTTTAATCAAGTGTTGCCTTGAATGAATCACTGGGAAGCCAGCCATGGTAAGGGCTGGTGAGGTTGGGGAGAAAGGAAGAGGTTTATGTTTCTCTGTTGTTTGGACCCTACTTGGCATGAAAAAGGAAGCTCAGTTCCAGCCCCTTGGATCAACGAAAATCAGAGGATTCTGGAAAGGCAGCCAACTTGCCCCTCTTAGAAGGATCAGAGGCAAGATGAGATGGCAGCCTGCAGAGTAAATGCTTGAAAAAAAAAAAGGGGGTGATTTTCAATGGTTTGCTTAAGTCACTGTTTTCTAGACACCAAAATAGCTGTTTTGAAACTGTTTTAATTGCTTGGGTAGCAATGTGCACTTTAAACAATTTGGATATTGGAATGCAGTATCATACTGAGTGATTTGAGTAGAACCACTGATGATGATTTTATAAATTGTGTGAAGCGAATTTCCCATTTGGCAATCATTTACTGATTTGCAGTGATCAATATTTTTTATGAGAATTTAAACTTACCAAGAATGGCCATGGAGGCAAAGCCTTCACCCAGACCCATCCCACTCTCCTGTGATCCAGGTGGTCCAGGAGCCCAGGACAGGCGCTTTCTGTGGGCCCTGGCCACAGACAGGGTTACCTGGTGAGGTGCAGAGAGTCCCTCTAGTGGCCATTTCGCATGGTAGTTGCTAATGCAGAACAAGTTCTGTCTTGGGCTTAAATTGACTGAAGACTTTAGGGGGAAAGAACATTAAATGCATGTAAACAAATGGGGGTACTCTGTCCAGGAGAATAATCCGACTGGCATTTGTGGCAGTTTTTGAAATGTAAATGTATTCATGTGTGTTCTTGTAAATACATGTCTTTCAGATGTCCTTTGAAGTGGGAGGGAATCAATCCGGGGATAATTTCAAATGGAATAGAGTATTTTGATATTGTTCATTCAGAGGGTGATGTGTACATATCTATATTGTATATATGTGATGAAAATGCATTGGCTTTTTGTGCAGATACAACCTGCTCTCTGTACTGCTGTTGGACAGTGTTTTAATGTTTCTACAGTTTTGCTATTGCACGATTTCATATTTTGCCTCTATGATGAACGGCAACCATTCTTTGTAACTGTTTAGTGCTGTAAAGAAATATTCCAAGTGTCATTAGGATTGTTGCTGCCAGAACTGATATGCATGAATGGCACTTAAAATAAATATATTATGTTAACTCTATTTACAACACTGATTGGCCTCCGTCATTTGCTGTAATTGAAGAAGTGAAAATGGAGCTAGTCCAGGTACAGAAACCCCACAGCCAGGACCCCAGAGTCCTTGGGATCACTGAGATTGTGTCCCTTGCATTACTACCTGAGAACAGTAATTGCTGCCATTTAGTGAGCATCTCATTAGCTCCATGAACTTGGGGAAGTCACTGGATTTCCCTGGGCCTCATTTTCCTTATTCGCAGTGCCAGTACAATGAGGATAGTATCTGCCTCCCAGAGTTGTAGTGGGATTTACATAAATTAGTACATTTAAACATTTAGAACAGCACATGCGACATAAAGCATACTGGTACTCAGTATGTGCCAGGTGCTGTGCTAAGTAGATACTGTGGTCCTCCTTTTACTGACATGGGAACAGCTCAGATAGAGGTATAGAAACTTGTCTAGATTATTTAGTTGGCAGGTGACAGAGCGGAGGTTTGAATCCAGGTCATTTGATTCCAGGCATCATGTTTTTTACACAATCCTCTCATACTTTGTGAGGGAATTCCCCTCTCCCTACCCCCTGCCCTTGCCCCCTGTCTTTTCCCCAGCACTGCCTTTCCAGAGCTATATCCAAAAGGTGAAAGTGGGGCTTTACATTTGCTGAGCACTTACTCTGTGTCAGACCCTCTCATGAGAAATCCAGAGATGAGGAAGCCACAGTTCCTGCCTTTACGGGGTACAGACTTGCCCAGGACAGGTAGCAAATGCCAGCCCAGGGAGGCTATTCTGAAGGTATGCTCTGGTAAGGCAAGATTCTGGTGGTGAGGAATGAGGTCATACTGAGGATTGGGGCAGTGGTTTAGGAAGGGCTCCAGGTATGGGCTGCTAAGTTGAGTCTTCAAAGGGTCCCAGACAGATGGGAGGAGGTATTGCCATTTATACCATCACCTTGAGCAAGCCATGGGAGCTCCCTTACCGTGGGGGTTGTGGGTTGAGGCGGGAGAAGTGCTGGGCTGCTGGTCAAGAGCTGAGCATAGCAATTCTGTGAGAAATGCTGTCCCCACTTCACTGATGTGGAAACAGGCCCGGACAGGCCAAGCAACGGGCAGACCAGCCATGTGGCTGGAAGTGAAATTAACCTGGAGTCCCTCCCACTCTAGAAGGGGGACCTTTTCATCAATCCCAAGATTACCCAAAGTCTCAGGCTGCTTCTAACTTAACCCACACAGTGCTACCAGAAACATCTATGGCAGTTTCACAGATAGGGAAACAAGGCCCAGAAAAGTTAACCTGCCCGAATTCTCACAGCTAATAGAGGAGCTGGAATAATTCAGTCCAGGCCTAACTCCAGAGTTCATTTCCTTTTACTTCACTGCTGTCTAAAAAAGAATTTTCCCAAAGCCAAGAATAGTGACTGTCCTGTGTGTGTGTCCATGTGTCTGTGTGTGTGCCTTGGAGGGAAAGCTGTGCTTCACTCCCATCACAGGTAAGCATTTGTCATTCGCGGTGCCTCTGAAGGACCGTAGTAAGGGCACCACTAAATGTGGTCACTTCTGCTGATTCAGATGCAGTTGAAGTATACTTCTGCTGATCAAATGAGAAATAAGGCGATTAAGATGCATGCATGATTCTCAAGGTTTTAAGATACTACAGTGTGCAAAGGGCTGCTGTTTATAGATGTGACCCTTATCAGTTGGGTAAAGGAGTCCTGGAAAAACCATGTAAGCATCAGTTAACGTTCATTGAAGGCTTGATTGCTTCTTGGCCTTTTGGCTAAGATCAAATGCATTAAAGGTTTGACTGCATTAAATGCCCTAGAATTACAGCACTATCCTAAAAACTTAGGAAGGGGCCTTAGAAATCAACTAACACAACCCCCCCACATTTTGTTGTTGGAGAACATTGAGACCCAGTGAGGGAAGGGTCTGCTCACGTTTCACACAGCTAGTTAGGGAAAATTTGGGGGAAGAGAATGAAGAAAGTCATTTGCCTGGCAGCGATTTAAAATTCCTACACATATTGTCTTATTTGATCTACACAATAGCCTGATGATGTAGTACTCTTACTGCCCTCATTTTACAGAAGAGGAAACAGCTTTGGAGAGGTGAGACACAACGAATAATGTGATGGTGGAGTATCCAACTCTGATGGACATGTGCCCCTGAGTGTGAGATGGAAGATTCAAATCTGAGTCTATAACTGGTATTTGCTTTCATGTACCTTCTGCGTGAGCATCTCATTACTGAGTTGATTCCAGTGGATAAAGATACATGTGTTTAGTGCAGCATTGTCCTGGGTTCAAGCTAGCGGCTTCATCTGATGCTCAAAGACAGACTTCAACCAAGAACTAGAAAAGCTGGCCAGGTAGGTTGGGCTTATTGAGACATGTTTATCCACGAAAGTGCTGCCTTCCCAAAGGAGTTTCAAGAGTGATTTTTGAGCTTAACCTCCTTGGACTCTTCCCTTAATATATGTGACTAGCCAACATGTGCAAAGTAGAGACTTGATAACTGACTGCGTCAGAACCAGGATTCAACCCCAGGTCAGGGCTTCAGCCCCCAGCTCTCCTGCAGTGCCCCCTAAACAGTGCTGACCTCAGATGTACAGAATTGGACAGCTACTCTTTATTAAAAGTTCCTGTTACTTAATATTACTTATTCTAAGCACTTGATGTGGATTATCATATTTACTCTTTGAAATAACTGTGTGTGGTAGATACTGTTGTTATCAACTTCATCTCGCAGAGCCACAGAAATGAAGTCCCTTGCCCAAGGTCATTCAGCTTGTAAGTGGTAGAGGTAATAATAGTAATAACAACAGTAAAGCTGGGGTTTTGAACCTAGGCCATCCAGCTCCAGTGTCTGCGCCATTCACCACCGCACTGTGCTGTCTCAGGCCCTGTTCCCAGAACGACCAGGCAGAGAATGAGGGCCTTAGAACAAAGCCAAAGCTATTTTGCAATGAGGCTGCAGTGAGTGCCTGTGGCCACTAGAGGGTGGGGCTGCCGGCTGTGCACCTTTCCTCTTTTGGAAGGTTTCCTTTACCCTTACTTAGGGCTGTGCTCCCTTTCTCTGCAGCCCCCAGAGCTGGGTGCTCCTAAAGAAAGGTAGGGATTCCACTAGCCAGCCCTTAGAATCCGTGCCCCTCCTCTCCTGTGTCAGAGCTTGCTGGAGGAAGCCAAGGAGACTCCCTAGTTCTCTGCCACATATTGCTGGGGCCCATTCTAGAGCTGCCTCTGAAGCCTGCTGCTTTCCCAGCCCCCTGGTGCCTACGGCTCCCCTGCTCCAGGGCTCAGGTGGGAGAAGGTGCCCACTGTCAACCCCACACTGAGGCTCCTCAGGCTCTGCCCCTTCCTCTTCTGGGGCCAGCTAATGCTGGGGACTGGCATGGTTTCTGCAAGCATAGAGAGGCCTGTGGTCCAGCCAGCCATGCTCCCTGCCACGGGGCAGCTACACTTGCCCCCCCATCAGCCCTGCCCCTGAGCCGGAGCAGGCCTCGTCTCCACTTGTACACCAACTCCTGCGGCTGTTACAAACACGATGATGGTTATTGCCACATTTGCCAGGTCCCTGCCTGGCACTGGACAGCCATTATCTGAGTGAACATGCCCAGGTGCCTTGTGAGGTTGGTGTCATTATCTTTTATGACTGGACATTGCCAACTCAGAGAGGTGAAGTGATTTGCCCAAGGTCAAAGCCAGTGAGCGAGGCTGGCAAGAGGACAGGAACCCACATCTGCCCCAGGTGCGCCTGCTCTTCTTGAGGGCACGCTGTCTCTTCCATAGCACTCCCCAGCTGCCCTGAGCACCCTCTGGTCACCCTACCCCAGAGGCAAGCCTGAACTGACCTCACGGTGGACGGATGGCACCACTCTCACCCCGCAGCCCCCAGAAGTCAGAGACGTCTTTATTTAATGGCAATAAAGACGTCCAAGGACACTTCCTAACCATCCCATGCCTGAGTGACGTTCACAGGCAGAGCACTTCCTGGAACAGCCCTCTGTTTCCATGTGACTGTGTGTGTGTGTGAGCATATGTGAGCAAGGCCTTGTGCATGTGTGCTCGTGTGCTTGTGTGACCATGTGTCTGTGGCTGAGCATGTGATACGTT